ACCCACAGATTCACCACACAGAGACCCACAGACTCACCACACAGAGACCCACAGACTCACCACACAGAGACCCACAGACTCACCACACAGAGACCCACAGACTCACCACACAGAGACCCACAGACTCACCACACAGAGACCCACAGACTCACCACACAGAGACCCACAGACTCACCACAGAGACACCCACAGACTCACCACACAGAGACCTACAGATTCACCACACAGAGACCCACAGACTCACCACACAGAGACCCACAAACTCACCACACAGAGACCCACAGACTCACCACACAGAGACCCACAAACTCACCACACAGAGACCCACAAACTCACCACACAGAGACCCACAAACTCACCACACAGAGACCCACAGATTCACCACACAGAGACCCACAGACTCACCACACAGAGACCCACAGATTCACCACACAGAGACCCACAGACTCACCACACAGAGACCCACAGACTCACCACACAGAGACCCACAGACTCACCACACAGAGACCCACAGACTCACCACACAGAGACCCACAGACTCACCACACAGATACCCATAGACTCACCACACAGAGACCCACAGACTCACCACACAGAGACCCACAGACTCACCACAGAGACACCCACAGACTCATCACACAGAGACACACAGACTCATCACACAGAGATCCACAGACTCACCACACAGAGACCCACAGACTCATCACACAGAAACCCACAGACTCACCACACAGACACCCACAGACTCACCACACAGAGACCCACAGACTCACCACACAGAGACCCCTAGACTCACCACACAGAGACCCACAAACTCATCAAACAGACACCCACAGACTCACCACACTGAGACCCACAGACTCATCAAACAGACACCCACAGACTCACCACACAGTGACCCACAGACTCACCACGCAGACACCCACAGACTCACTACACAGAGACCCACAGACTCACCACACAGAGACCCACAGATTCACCACACAGAGACCCACAGACTCACCACACAGAGACCCACAGACTCACCACACAGAGACCCACAGATTCACCACACAGAGACCCACACACTCACCACACAGAGACCCACAGACTCACCACACAGAGACCCACAGACTCACCACAGAGACACCCAGACTCATCACACAGAGACACACAGACTCACCACACAGAGACACCCACAGACTCACTACACAGAGACCCACGGACTCACCACACAGAGACCCACAGACTCACCACACAGAGACACCCACAGACTCATCACACAGAGACACACAGACTCACCACACAGAGACCCATAGACTCACCACACAGAGACACACAGACTCACCACACAGAGACCCACAGACTCACCACACAGAGACACCCACAGATTCACCACACAGAGACCCACAGACTCATCACACAGAGACACCCACAGACTCACCACACAGAGACACACAGACTCACCACACAGAGACCCACCGACTCACCACACAGAGACCCACAGACTCATCACACAGAGACGCACAGACTCACCACGCAGAGACCCACAGACTCACTCATAGAGACCCACAGACTCACAACACAGAGACCCACAGACTCATTACACAGAGACGCACAGACTCACCACGCAGAGACCCACAGACTCACCACACAGACACCCACAGACGCACCACACAGAGACCCACAGACTCACCACACAGAGACCCACAGACTCACCACACAGAGACACCCACAGACTCACCACACAGAGACACCCACAGACTCACCACACAGAGACCCACAGACTCACCACACAGAGACACACAGACTTATCACACAGAGACAAACAGACTCACCACACAGAGACACACAGACTCACCACACAGACACCCACAGACTCACCACACAAAGACCCACAGACTCACCACACAGAGACACACAGACTTATCACACAGAGACAAACAGACTCACCACACAGAGACCCACAGACTCACCACACAGACACCCACAGACTCACCACACAGAGACACCCACAGACTCACCACACAGAGACACCCACAGACTCACCACACAGAGACCCACAGACTCACCACACAGAGACCCACAGACTCACCACCCGGAGACCCACAGACTCATCACACAGAGACCCACAGACTCACCACACAGAGACCCACAGACTCACCACACAGAGACCCACAGACTCACCACACAGAGACCCATAGACTCACCACACATAGACACACAGACTCACCACACATAGACACACAGACTCACCACACAGAGACCCACAGACTCACCACACAGAGACACCCACAGACTCACCACACAGAGACCCACAGACTCACCACACAGAGACACACAGACTCACCACACAGAGACCCACAGACTCACCACACAGAGACCCACAGACTCACCACACAGAGACCCACAGACTCACCACACAGAGACCCACAGACTCACCACACAGAGACCCACAGACTCACCACACAGAGACACCCACAGACTCACCACACAGACACCCACAGACTCACCACACAGAGACCCACAGACTCACCACACAGACACCCACAGACTCATCACACAGAGACACACAGACTCACATAGAGACACACAGACTCACATAGAGACACACAGACTCACCACACAGAGACCCACAGACTCACCACACAGAGACCCACAGACTCACCACACAGAGACCCACAGACTCACCACACAGAGACCCACAGACTCACGACACATAGACACACAGACTCACCACACAGAGACACCCACAGACTCACCACACAGAGACCCACAGACTCTCCACACAGACACCCACAGACTCACCACACAGAGACACCCACAGACTTATCACACATAGACCCACAGACTCACCACACAGAGACACCCACAGACTCACCACACAGAGACCCACAGACTCGCCACACAGAGACCCACAGACGACTCACCACACAGAGACCCACAGACTCACCACACAGAGACCCACAAACTCACCACACAGAGACCCACAGACTCACCACACAGAGACCCACAGACTCACCACACAGAGACCCACAGATTCACCACACAGAGACCCACAGACTCACCACACAGAGACCCACAGACTCACCACACAGAGACCCACAGACTCACCACACAGAGACCCACAGACTCACCACACAGAGACCCACAGACTCACCACAGAGACACCCACAGACTCATCACACAGAGACACACAGACTCATCACACAGAGATCCACAGACTCACCACGCAGAGACCCACAGACTCATCACACAGAGACCCACAGACTCACCACACAGACACCCACAGACTCACCACACAGTGACCCATAGACTCACCACACAGAGACCCACAGACTCACCACACAGAGACCCCTAGACTCACCACACAGAGACCCACAAACTCATCAAACAGACACCCACAGACTCACCACACAGTGACCCACAGACTCACCACGCAGACACCCACAGACTCACTACACAGAAACCCACAGACTCACCACACAGAGACACCCACAGACTCACCACACAGAGACCCACAGACTCACCACACAGAGACACCCACAGACTCACCACACAGACACCCACAGACTCACCACACAGAGACACCCACAGACTCACCACGCAGACACCCACAGACTCACCACGCAGACACCCACAGACTCACCACACAGAGACACCCACAGACTCACCACACAGAGACCCACAGACTCACCACACAGACACCCACAGACTCACCACACAGACACCCACAGACTCACCACACAGACACCCACAGACTCACCACACAGAGACCCATAGACTCACACAGAGACCCATAGACTCACCACCACACAGAGATCCATAGACTCACACAGAGACCCATAGACTCACACAGAGACCCACAGACTCACCACACAGAGACCCACAGACTCACCACACAGAGACCCACAGACTCACCACACAGACACCCACAGGCTCACCACACAGAGACCCACAGACTTACCACACAGAGACCCACAGACTCACCACACAGACACCCACAGACTCACTACACAGAGACCCACAGACTCACCACACAGAGACCCACAGACTCACCACACAGAGACCCACAGACTCACCACACAGAGACACCCACAGACTCACCACACAGAGACCCACAGACTCACCACGCAGAGACCCACAGACTTACCACACAGAGACCCACAGACTCACCACACAGAGACACCCACAGACTCACCACACAGAGACCCACAGACTCACCACACAGAGACCCACAGACTCACCACACAGAGACCCACAGACTCACCACACAGAGACCCACAGACTCACCACACAGAGACCCCTAGACTCACCACACAGAGACCCACAGACTCACCAAATAGAGACCCACAGACTCACCACACAGAGACCCACAGACTCACCACACAGAGACCCACAGACTCACCACACAGAGACCCACAGACTCACCACACAGAGACACCCACAGACTCACCACACAGAGACACCCACAGACTCACCACACAGAGACACCCACAGACTCACCACACAGAGACACCCACAGACTCACCACACAGAGACTCACAGACTCACCACACAGAGACCCACAGATTCACCACACAGAGACACCCACAGACTCACCACATAGAGACCCACAGACTCACCACACAGAGACACCCACAGACTCACCACACAGAGACCCACAGACTCACCACACAGAGACACCCTCAGACTCACCACACAGAGACCCACAGACTCACCACACAGAGACACCCACAGACTCACCACACACAGACACCCACAGACTCACCACACAGAGACCCACAGACTCACCACACAGAGACACCCACAGACTCACCACACAGAGACACCCACAGACTCACCACACAGAGACCCACAGACTCACCACACAGAGACCCATAGACTCACCACACAGAGACCCACAGACTCACCACACAGAGACCCACAGACTCACCACACAGAGACCCATAGACTCACCACACAGAGACTCAGGCGACGCCAACTCAATTCCCCCCTCCCCCGTGCCCTCCCTACCCCAGGTCAGACGGTGGAGGTGCGAGGCTACCGCAGGAGCGACGAGTCCTACATCTTCTCGGTGACGCGGGAGGTCTACAGCGTGGCCTCCGTGTCGGAGTGTGCAGAGAAGTGTGAGGCCGAAACGACCTTCACTTGTAGGTCAGTCAGTAGGGGTCAGTCACTTGTAGGTCAGTCAGTAGGGGTCAGTCACTTGTAGGTCAGTCAGTAGGGGTCAGTCACTTGTAGGTCAGTCAGTAGGGGTCAGTCACTTGTAGGTCAGTCAGTAGGGGTCAGTCACTTGTAGGTCAGTCAGTAGGGGTCAGTCACTTGTAGGTCAGTCAGTAGGGGTCAGTCACTTGTAGGTCAGTCAGTAGGGGTCAGTCACTTGTAGGTCAGTCAGTAGGGGTCAGTCACTTGTAGGTCAGTCAGTAGGGGTCAGTCACTTGTAGGTCAGTCAGTAGGGGTCACTGGGGGTCACTGGGGGTCACTGGGGGTCAGTCACTTGTAGGTCAGTCAGTAGGGGTCAGTCACTTGTAGGTCAGTCAGTAGGGGTCAGTCACTTGTAGGTCAGTCAGTAGGGGTCACTGGGGGTCACTGGGGGTCACTGGGGGGTCAGTCACTTGTAGGTCAGTCAGTAGGGGTCACTGGGGGTCACTGGGGGTCAGTCACTTGTAGGTCAGTCAGTAGGGGTCAGTCACTGGGGGTCACTGGGGGTCAGTCACTTGTAGGTCAGTCAGTAGGGGTCACTGGGGGTCACTGGGGGTCACTGGGGGTCAGTCACTTGTAGGTCAGTCAGTAGGGGTCAGTCAGTAGGGGTCACTGGGGGTCACTGGGGGGTCAGTCAGTAGAGATCAGTCACTTGTAGGTCAGTCAGTAGGGGTCACTTGGGGTCACTGGGGGGTCACTGGGGGGTCAGTCAGTTGTAGGTCAGTCAGTAGGGGTCACTGGGGGTCACTGGTACGTCAGTCACGGGGGTCAGTCACTGGAGGTCAGTCACTGGGGGTCAGTCACTGGGGGGGTCACTGAGGGGTCACTGGGGGTCGGTCACTGGGGGGTCACTGGGGGGTCACTGGGGGGTCACTGGGGGTCAGTCACTGGGGGGGTCACTGGGGGGTCACTGGGGGTCGGTCACTGGGGGGTCACTGGGGGTCGGTCACTGGGGGGTCACTGGGGGGTCACTGGGGGTCAGTCACTGGGGGGTCAGTCACTAGGGGTGAGTTACTGGGGGGTCACTGGGGGGTCACCGGGGGTCAGTCACTGGGGGGTCACTGGGGGGTCACTGGGGGTCAGTCACTGGGGGGTCTGTCACTAGGGGTGAGTTACTGGGGGGTCACTGGGGGGTCACTGGGGGTCAGTCACTGGGGGGTCACTGGGGGGGTCAATAACTGGCGGTCAGTCACGTGGGGTCAGTAACTGGGGTCATGACCATCACTACCTCGACCATCTTGGCGGTGAAGTTCTCACCTCACTACCCTCACCCCCTCCTCCTCCTCCCCCTCCTCCCCCCCCGTCCTCGTCTCCTCCTCTTCTCCTCCCCCTCCCCTTCTCTTCCCTCCCCCCCTCCATCCCCCTCCCCCCCTCCATCCCCCTCCCCCCCCTCCATCCCCCTCCACCCCCCCTCCATCCCCCTCCATCCCCCTCCCCCCCCCCCTCCATCCCCCTCCACCCCCTCCATCCCCCTCCACCCCCCCTCCATCCCCCTCCATCCCCCTCCCCCCCCTCCATCCCCCTCCCCCCTCCTCCTCCCCCCCTCCACCCACCCCCCCTCCATCCCCCTCCTCCTCCCCCCCTCCACCCCCCCTCCTCCCCCCCCTCCATCCCCCTCCACCCTCCACCCCCCCAGGGCGTTCGTGTTCACGAGTGCGGTGTTGGACTGCTCTGTGATGCCCCTCAACTCGCTGAGCAAGTTCACGATGAGCCGCAAGGGATACGTCCTGTACGAGAGGCAGGGTGAGCCTCGCTCCGCCGCCTGTTGTCGTGTCGTGTGTGTAGTGTGTGTGGTCCGCCTGTTGGTGTGTGTGTGTAGTCCGCCTGTTGGTGTGTGTGGTGTGTGTAGTCCACCTGTTGTCGTGTGTGTGTGTAGTGTAGTGTGTGTAGTGTAGTGTGTGTGTAGTGTAGTGTGTGTGTGGTCCGCCTGTTGGTGTGTGTGTGTAGTCCGCCTGTTGGTGTGTGTGTGTAGTCCGCCTGTTGTCGTGTGTGTAGTCCGCCTGTTGTCGTGTGTGTGTGTAGTGTAGTGTGTGTAGTGTAGTGTGCGTGTAGTGTAGTGTGTGTGTAGTCAGCCTGTTGGTGTGTGTGTGTAGTCCGCCTGTTGTGTTGGTGTAGTGTGTGTGTAGTCCGCCTGTTGTGTTGGTGTAGTGTGTGTAGTCCGCCTGTTGTTGTGTGTGTAGTGTAGTGTGTGTAGTGTAGTGTGTAGTCCGCCTATTGGTGTGTGTGTGTGTAGTGTAGTGTGTGTAGTGTAGTGTGTGTGTAGTGTAGTGTGTGTGTGGTCCGCCTGTTGTGTTGGTGTGTGTGTAGTGTAGTGTGTAGTCTGCCTGTTGTGTCGTGTGTGTGTGTAGTGTAGTGTGTGTAGTGTAGTGTGTAGTCCGCTTGTTGGTGTGTGTGTGTAGTGTAGTGTGTGTAGTGTAGTGTGTAGTCCGCTTGTTGGTGTGTGTGTGTGTAGTGTAGTGTGTGTAGTGTAGTGTGTGTGTAGTGTAGTGTGTGTGTGGTCCGCCTGTTGTGTTGGTGTGTGTAGTGTAGTGTGTAGTCTGCCTGTTGTGTCGTGTGTGTGTGTAGTGTAGTGTGTGTAGTGTAGTGTGTAGTCCGCTTGTTGGTGTGAGTGTAGTGTAGTGTGTGTAGTGTAGTGTGTGTGTGTAGTGTAGTGTGTGTGTAGTCCGCCTGTTGTGTTGGTGTGTGTGTGGTCCGCCTGTTGTGTTGGTGTGTGTGTGTGTAGTGTAGTGTGTAGTCCGCCTGTTGGTGTGTGTGTGTGTAGTGTAGTGTGTAGTCTGCCTGTTGTGTCGTGTGTGTGTGTAGTCAGCCTGTTGGTGTGTGTGTGTAGTGTAGTGTGTGTAGTGTAGTGTGTAGTCCGCCTGTTGGTGTGTGTGTGTGTAGTGTAGTGTGTGTGTAGTGTAGTGTGTGTAGTGTAGTGTGTGGTCCGCCTGTTGTGTGTGTGTAGTCCGCCTGTTGGTGTGTGTGTGTGTGTAGTCCGCCTGTTGTGTGTGTGTAGTCCGCCTGTAGTGTTGGTGTGTGTGTAGTCCGCCTGTTGTGTGTTTGTAGTCCGCCTGTTGGTGTGTGTGTAGTCCGCCTGTTGTGTGTGTGTAGTCCGCCTGTTGGTGTGTGTGTGTGTGTGGTCCGCCTGTTGTGTGTGTGTAGTCCGCCTGTTGGTGTGTGTGTGTAGTCCGCCTGTTGTTGTGTATGTGTAGTCCGCCTGTTGGTGTGTGTGTGGTCCGCCTGTTGGTGTGTGTTGTCCGCCTGTTGTTGTGTGTGTGTGTGGTCCGCCTGTCGGTGTGTGTGTGTGGTCCGCCTGTTGGTGTGTGTGTGTGGTCCGCCTGTTGGTGTCTGTGTGTGTGGTCCGCCTGTTGTGTTGGTGTGTAGTCCGCCTGTTGTTTGTTGTGTGTGTAGTCCGCCTGTTGTTGTGTGCGTGTAGTCCGCCTGTTGTTGTGTGTGTAGTCCGCCTGTTGGTGTGTGTGTGTGTGGTCTGCCTATTGGTGTGTGTGTGTGGTCCGCCTGTTGTTGTGTGTGTGGTCCGCCTGTTGGTGTGTGTGTGTGTGTGTGGTCCGCCTGTTGATGTATGTGTGTGGTCCGCCTGTTGGTGTGTGTGGTCCGCCTGTTGGTGTGTGTGTGTGTGTGGTCCGCCTGTTGGTGTGTGTGTGTGGTCCGCCTGTTGGTGTATGTGTGTGGTCCGCCTGTTGGTGTGTGTGTGTGGTCCGCCTGTTGGTGTGTGTGTGTGTGGTCTGCCTATTGGTGTGTGTGTGGTCCGCCTGTTGTTGTGTGTGTGTGTGGTCCGCCTGTCGGTGTGTGTGTGTGGTCTGCCTGTTGGTGTATGTGTGTGGTCCGCCTGTTGTTGTGTGTGTGTGTGGTCCGCCTGTTGGTGTGTGTGTGTGGTCCGCCTGTTGGTGTATGTGTGTGTGGTCCGCCTGTTGGTGTATGTGTGTGTGGTCCGCCTGTTGGTGTGTGTGTGTGGTCCGCCTGTTGGTGTGTGTGTGTGTGTGGTCCGCCTGTTGGTGTGTGTGTGTGTGTGGTCCGCCTGTTGTGTGCGCGGCAAAACAACCCCCTACCTCCTCGTGGTGCCGGACTTGGCAACGCTGTCGTGGACAGTGCTGTGGGGGGAGGGCCAATTCCGAGTGGCCTTTCCCCTCAGGGTATTTGTAGTCACCACAGCGGCTAAACGGGGGCTCTGGACCGGTGCGAGGGGCTGGTAACCCCGCCACCTTCAATTAATTACCATCAAACCACGTCTAAAATATCTAATTAATAAGCTTGTGCCGTAGGCCCCGGGGGGACAGGCGTCTATGACGTCTCCTGGCCAAACCCCATTTGGCGGAGCCAGGAGATTGAATCTCTACCCTCGGGGCTCCTCCAGAAACAACGAAGAGCCACTACGTGTGGCCACGTGGAATGTTCGAACGCTCACTGCGAAGGAGAGGCTGCCGCTCCTCTGTCGGGAGCTGGACTGGTACCGCCGGGATCTCTGTGGTATTCAGGAGGTCCAGTGGACCGGCTCTGGCTCCTGCCACCATGAGGGGTGGACAGTCCTCTACTCGGGGCAGGAGACTGCCAAATAACAGGGTGTGGCTCTTCTTTTGAACAAAGGAATTAAGGGGGCATGGGAGCGTGGCGGTGAGGTGTGGGAAGCTGTAAGCCCAAAGCTACTTTGGGCTCGCCTTCCCATCAACCGGAGGCGAGGAGTGGTGATCGTTGTTACTTATATCCCCACCGAAGACGAACATCTGTGGAGGGATGCAGGCAAAGCCAATGAGTCAGATGGCTTCTATGACCTCCTGTCACAGGTGCTGGCTAAAGTAGCCCCTCGGGATAGAGTCATCTTGTTGGGTGACTTCAATGCCCGAGTTGGTCATGATACTGCACCTGGTCTGGAGTGATTGGAGGGCATGGGCCAGATCAGCTCAATAACAACGGTAGGAGGCTGCTAGATTTTTGTGCAGCCCATGGGCTTGTAATTACCAACACGCTGTTCTGGCATCAGCACATCCACACCACATTATGGATGCATGTCGGGTCCAAGCAAGAACATCTGCTGGACTACATTTTAACGGAACAGCGGATGCGGGCCCATGTCCTTGACACCAGGACCTACCGTGGAGTTGATCTACCCACTGACCATCGACGTGTCATCTGTAAGATGCGCCTGCCATTCTTCCACTCCAGTGGTGGGTGTACCCCCAGGACCCCATTCAAACCCTTACTGACATGGTCTCAGCTAGTTGATGAAAGTTGCAAGGGAGAATTTCATCATCACTTGCAGCTGGGGTTGGCATCGTCCCACAATCCTCCTGATGTTGGGGGTAAATGGGCAAGGTTTAGGACTGTGGCTCATGCAGCTGCAATGGCTGCTTTGGGTACACGGTCCAGACCTCCCCAGAGACCCTGGCTGACAGAGGAGGTGTTCAAGCTGGCTGAGAAAAAGCGACAGGCCCACTGTCATCGGCTACAGCATCCCACGTCGGAGAATGAGGAGGCTTACCGCAGCCTTCGTTCGCAGGTTCGGAGAGCCATGAGGCACTGCAAGGATGGGTGGTGGTCGTGGGTTGCTGAGGAGATGGAGTCTGCCTCAGTGGCCCTAGATCACAAATCGCTCTTTAATTCAATAAAAAAGTAACCTGCAGCGCCACACCTATTACCATCACGAGGGGGAAAAATGGTGATCCAATTTCCGACCCCCAGAAACAGGTTTGCAGATTTGCTGAGCATTTCTGTGAGGTCCTGGGGGAGGGGAAATCCCTCAGCCAGGAAAACATCGTGGCACAAAGTGAGGATGACCCTGCTGAGGCTGCGGAGCCTCAAATATTGGAGGAGGAAGTCACCCCCTGTGAGTGGCTGGCTGAGCTGCCATCTGTTGATGAAGTACTGAAGGTGATCCAGAGTCTGAGACCAGGAAAGGCACCGGGCAGAGATGATCTCCCAAGCGAAATGCTGAGGGAGGGTGGCGTTTGTGCACAGACTGCCCTATATGACATCATAACAACAGTCTGGACCACTGGATGGGTTCCGCAGGATTGGAAGGATGCCCTGGTGGTCCCCCTTTTTAAGAAGGGGGACCGCACAGACTGTAACAACTACAGGGGCATCTCACTCCTCAGTTTGCCGGGAAAGGTCCTGGAAAGGATTATTCAGCATCGCCTTGCCAGGCACGCTGAGGAGAGGCTTGCGGAGCCCCAATGCGGTTTCAGGATGGGGCGGTCCTGCACAGATGCCATATTTTCTGTCCGTCTGCTACAGCAGAGGTGTAGGAAATTCCAACAAGACCTACATCTCTGCTTTATTGACCTGGTCAAGGCCTATGATACCATCAGTAGGCCTGGGCTCTGGGTTGTTCTTCGTGCTTTTGGAGTACCTGACCTTCTGCTCACGATCATTTAAGGACCTTCATGATGGTGAGCGGGCCCGGGTAAAATTACGTGGCCGGGAGTCAGAGCCATTCCCTGTACACCTCAGTCGAGCGGAAATATTTTTAAATCGGTTGCGTAACGCTGTGTGGAGGCTACCTGGTCTGTCGCTCCGCACGAAGCTTCGGGTCTTCTCGACCACGGTCATTCCCTCCCTTCTCTACACTTGCGAAACGTGGACCCCCCTAATGGAACATCGTCGCCGGTTAGAAACATTTAGCCTAGCCTGCCTACGATCCATCCTGGGTTTAACTAAGCTGGATTGTGTGAGGAGCTCACAAATCCTTGAAAGATCTGGACAAGGTCCCATCGGTGAGCTCCTCTGGCGGGCAAGGCTGCGTTGGCTGG